TTAGTCGGTGACTTTAATAACAAGATATTTTGTACTTGTTCATTCATTGAGTCTGAAACTACTGAAGAATTGCAGTTTGTGGGATCATAAATAAGCACCTTTCAGATTTTTGAAAGTTCATGGCTTCATTTCGAAAATCGGTTATTTTAAATCTTTAACCTTATAAGCTGATTTAGACAAGCCAGATAAAGTTACAGATAACCGCTCAATAAGACGGCCTGTTTTGACGATGACAAACGCGTTCTTTTTGAACCAGTTGAAGCGCCATTTTTTTAGCAGGCTGATGTTTTTTCTTTTCGAAATAATGAAGGTTTATAATTTTTAAACAATTTCACTTAGTTAGCCATGGAAACAAGTTTAACGTCTTTGCTCTCGGAAATGTGAAGCTGTCACATCCAAACTTCGTAAATTAAAATAAGCAAAAATTGTAAATATGAATTTTTCAAATGAAGAAAAGCGTGAAGGATTATTGGTTCATCTTTTCTTGACCATACATTTTCGAGGATACGTTAACCGGTGAATGTTACGTTTTTTAGAGAACGGTTTTCAAGACATGTTAGAGAAGTTACATTTACTTATAGCCAATTCTGATCTTTCTTGATTAATTTCAATTGGATTGCATGGTATTCTTATTCTATTATGATTTAGAAAACTTTAAAAAAATATATATTACTAAACGGTTCCTTACAATTTACATTACACAAACTAAAACTTAAAAAATAATATCATTGCATACACTAAGTTATTTTAGAAAGTATTCAAAAAATCCGCCATTGTTTTGAGTTGCATCTTTTTAAAACTGAATTACTACCTATTCTCATAGAAGGACCGGTCGACTTAATTAAACTTCTCTCGTACCACCACTTCGAGTGCCTCTCTTAATTCACAAGTTCTTTTGTAAACCTTATTGTTAACCATACCACATAAAAAAAAAATCTAAAATGGATAGGTCAGGTGATTGAGGAGGCCTATACAATTGGTCCACCTCTTTCTATTCCTGAGTTTGCATAATTATGATATAAATAATTTTTAACATTTCTTTCATTATGAGGGGGGGGGGGTCGTAATAAAAGTCATGTTGGAACCACTCTAATGATGCAGGAGTATCTACACGTTTTTCTTCATTTGAAAAATTCATATTTACAATTTTTGTTTATTTTAATTTACAAAGCTTGGATATGACAGCTTCACATTTCTGAGAGCAAAGACGATTAAACTTGTTTTCATGGCTAACTAAGTGAAATTGTTTAAAAATTATAAGAATTGGCTATAACTCTGTAATTTTTCGAAGAAAACATATTATAGCTTATATCGCTGAAAAGCTTAAAAAATGGCGCTTTTTATGAAGTCATGGCCAACTATGGTTTCCATTTAAAAAACATGTTTGTGTCATATGTCAAAAATTACAGGCTTTAAAAGAAAACGGGGGCATAGTCTCATAAAGGATGTGATTATCTACAACTTTTATCTGAAATTTTTTTGTCTAAAATAGCTTATAATGGAGTTAGGGACAATTTTTAAAATAGCCGAAATTTGTTTTTTTTCGAAATATCTAGTAAGCCTTGAACTTTTTCAAAAATCTGAAAGGCGCATATTTATGACCCCACAAAACTGTAATTGTTTCCCCATTTAACCGACTCTCTATCTCCAGTAGTTTCCGAGATACCCATAAAGAGCATCGTAGGAAACTCACCCTGTATAAAATCCTTAAGTGACTGACATACTGATTAATCACGATCCTGCTCAAACCACTCAACGTAAGAAGTTCATTGGCATACAGGTTGATTCTAGGGTGTAGAGGTTCGATAAGAAGGGATTTTTCGAAATTCCAGTTCCAAGAGGGTGAAAACACCCCTCAAATATTAGAATATTTTTTATTTAAAAAACGGTAGAGTTTCCGAAAAAACGCTTAAACGCGTATATTTTATTTTGTTTTTTTACATATTTTAAGATTTTTTAAAAATGTATACAGGGTGTTTCGAAAAATCGGGTCATTGATTAATCACGATCCTGCTTAAAGCGCTTGATGTAAAAAGCTGATTTTTGGAAAACAGACTGACTTTAGGGTGTACAGGTTCGATAAGAAGGGATTTTTCGAAACTCGAATTCTAAGGGGGTGAAAGTATCCCTCAAATATTAAAATATTTTTTATTTAAAAACCGGTGAGTTTTTCGGAAAAACTCCTAAACACGTATATTTTATTTTGTTGTTTTACATATTTTAAGATTTTTTATAAATTTATACAGGGTGTTTCATAAAATATGACCATCGAGTAATCACGATTCTGCTTAAACTGCTTGACGTTTAAAGCTGATTTTTGGCAAACGGGTTGTAGAGCTTCGATAAGGAGGGGTTTCTCGAATCTCAAATTCCAAGAGGGTGAAAACACCCCTCACATATTACAATATTTGTTATTTAAAAACGTTTAGTCTTTCGGGATAACGCTTGGACAAGCATAATTTATTTGTTTTTTTTACATATTTTTAAATTTTTTAAAAAATCATACAGGGTGTTCCAAAAAGTTGGGTAATTTCTTAACCACGATTCTGCTTAAACTGCTTGACGTAAAAAGCTTATTTTTGGCAAATGGATTTTTCGAAAGTCAAATTCCAACGAGATGAAACTACCCCTCAAATATTACCAAGTTATATAATAATATCGCCATATTGTTTTTTTCATGCTGACATAAACGTGAGAAAATTTTATCCAGTTTTGTATGT